TCTCCCTCTCTCTCTCTCTCTCTCTCTCTCTCTCTCTCTCTCTCTCTCTCTCCTGGGGAAGCACCCCCACCACAGGACCCTGTGAGTGGTCATGTGGAGGCACAGGAGTGGCTGTCACTAGAAGCTCAGGCCTGGCGGTCCCAGGCACCTTTCCCTGCGCTGTCTTCAGGAAGGCAACTCAGGGCCATCAGGACCCTCAGCTCCTAGGCCCATGGGAGCCCTGCAGGCCTCACTTTCAGACTTGGCCTCAGCCACAGTGGGCAGAACCAGGGGGTTCTTGTCACAGACAAAGAAGTAGGGCCGCAGGCAGCCAGGGAAGAGGTGGCCAAAAGTGTAGATGTGGGAGCCACTGTGGGCATCATAGAAGGAGACCTCCCCGGCCTCACAGTCCAGGAAGAGCCCCACGCGGCACAGCCCAGATGGCGGTGGAGGTGGTGCACACGGGGAGCCCAGCAGCAGGTACTCGGTGCCCCGCAGCAGCCACAGCGCCCACACGCCAAGCTTGGGGGTTGGGGCCGCCTCGCCCCTGCGCGGCGCTGTGTCCTGGCACACGCCCAGGCCCCACTCAGCGCCCTTGATCACTGCCACTTCCCAGTAGTGCCGGCCAGAGGAGAAGCTCGGCAGGCCCAGCACGCAAGGCCAGGTGTCGAACCTCTTCGGGTCCCCTGGCACATCCCTCCAGAGCTCGCCTTCCCGCACGGAGCGCAGGTCAGCCGTCAGCAGCAGGCTGGGGTGCGCTGTGCTGGGGTCCAGCTTCATGTCCACTGCGGGGAGAGGAGGAGGACAGTGAGAAGCCAAGGCCACTGAGTGAACCCAAACACCCCTTTCTTTGTTGGCCAGAGGAGGAGCTAGCACCTGCAGGCCGCTGACACAGCGTACAAACCACACCCAGTACTCCGGTTGGGCCTGGGTGTTGCCACCAGGAGGAAGAAAGGGTTTCCCCGGGTCCCAGAGTGGCCCCAGGTCCAGGGCTCCCCTGTGTGGACCTGTGCCCCATGCACAGCTGGGAAAATCCTGGGAGCCAGCTCTTCCCTCAACACGGCCTGGGCCCAACCCCAGGTCAGGGCCTGAACTTGGGGATCCACACACAGGGCACTGGGCTGACTCCACCCAGATGTCCAGTCTATGGACCAAGGGCCAGGACATGGGTGTGGTCCAAAGCAGGTAAACCTGTGATAATTTGTTACTTATCAACAACAGGGCCAGGAATTTAGCTCAGTGGTTCCGCTGCCTGCCTTGCAAGTGACAGGTCCAGAGTTCAATCCCTGGTACCCAAAACAACAAAATAAAAACCTTTAATATTGCACAGTAAGGTGATAGTAGGGGCTTTATCTTTTAGAGATGCACCCTGGTCTCCTACCAAATAAACACGTGCATCTAGATAGGAGCCTGCTGTGAATAAGGGAAAGCACTTTTCCCCATAAATACCCAAAAAGAATAAACCAATGTACTTTTATTTTTATATCATAACAAATATGCTCTTACTACTAGCAGTAATACTACCACTATGATTTCTATTCTTGTTTCTCTGTGTATGTGTGTGCATGTATGTGTGTGTTACTGAACTGAATCCAAGACCTTTGCATTAAGCTACATTACCAACCTCCACTCCTCTGTTTTAGAAGAGTTTGGAGATACTGCTGAGTCACTGAGTTGCCCAGGCTGGGCTCAGACTTGCAATCCTCCCACTTCTGCCTCTCAGGGTGCTGGGATCACAGGCATTGCCTGTGCTTATCTCTTCTCTCCTAGCCTCAACTGCCTATGGCAACCATAGTTTGGCATCTCCCAAGTCCCCTGTGACCTCCATGTAGACCACGCCACTTGTCAGAGTCTTTGTTTCCAGCTCACTGCTCTACTGTGAACTTCCCTTCTTTTGGGACCCCATCTCCATGCTCTCCTTCAGTCTCCTGTTCCTTCTTGGTCTCTTTGGCTGCTCTCTCCTCTGCCCACCATCACTGGGAAGCCTTTGGACTCTGGTCTAGGCCTCTGTACCTGCTCACTGACTCCCTCTGTCGGAGGTCGTCTCTTTCACTAAGTTCTGGTTTTATTAAACTCCACTCACTTGTCAGCTGATTACAAAGGCAAATTTCTAACTGAACCATTCTGAAACTCCACCTCTGTAAGTTCATCTGCCTGCCTGACACATGCATGGTCAGCATTCCTCATTCCATTAACATCATCACTAAGTCCAAGACTGACCCTCCTCCTGCCTCACCTGTAGCCTCACCCACCAGTGTACGTACACAGTGCCAGGGACCGCAATACTGACTGTGCCCAAAGCAGGCTGTGAGCAGTGCAGGCTGTGAGGAGTTAACCCCCAACTGGCTTGATGATAGAAGTGAGTCCAGTAAAGCCTATGTGCTGAGGTCAGAGTGCCTCATACCCAAATTCCATTCCCACAGCTAAAACTTTCTTAACTAGAAGGACAATGTTCTAATTACAACCATATATTTTATCTATTCTGTTCCTAATTCGAGAATGCTTTGTCTTGTCCTTTAGGAGCCTTGATTAACATTAGTTTCCATAGAAACCTCATGTCTGTGTATCCTTGCATGCAGTTCTGCCCTTGCACATAGCTTACTTTTACCCCAATTGATTACTAATAAAAATCAGTATTCTGTCTCTCTTAGTTCTTTTAGTTTTTTTCTCAGGGTTGTGTCATACACTGAGCAGAGGACTGGAGCCTACTGCAAAGGTTTCCAGTAAGGTTTCAGGGGTTTCTGGTAAGCCAGCAGGCTCAAGATGCTGGCCTTTTTATTGTTGTTTTGTGTGTGTGGTACTGGGTATTGAACCCAGAGCTGCTCTACCACTTACCTACTTCTCAGCCCATTTTTACTTTTATTTTGAGGGAGGATCTTGCTATGTTGCCAGGGTGATCCTCCTGCCTCAGCCCCCCTCCATGCTGAGTTTACAAGTGTGGGCCTCTGAGCCAGGCTATGATGTTAGTTCTTGAGATCTAAAACCCTGGACACATTAGTGAATTTCTCTTATCACTATCATGTCCAGTGCAGCACGGATGCCTTTAGGAGCAGTGCACTAGTCCCTGTGCCACTGTGAAATGTGCATTAGGTCTCCACCCAGTTCATTATAGCCCCTAAACTAAGGGAGTCTCCAAGAGGGGAAGGGCGCCTCTGCATGTGAATGAGATACCAGGTGCCTGGGGCCCCAGAAGGCCTCAGGATGGAATTGCTTGCCAGGGGACCCAATGAGGTGATCAGAGGTTTGGAACTTCCAGTCCTACAACCTCAGGGGCTACAGAGGGCCAGAAAGTTCAGTTGATAAACTGATGGCCAGACTTAGCATTTCCTGTTTTAAAAAAAATAAAGACATCCAAGTCCAGCTTACTGCCAGCATTCCCTTAACTCTACATAAGCCAACTCTCCGAGGCTGAAGTAAATCCCATAGCACTACCAAACCAGCATGCTATACATAGGACGACATGCTCTGTTCCCAGACTACCAACACAAGAGCACTGCAGTAATGATAAAGTGCAAGACCTCGTGGCAAGCCTTGGGGATACGGTTAGGACACTAATGCATGCAGCATTATCTCAGGGTAAACTCTGCAGGCACAAGAGACACCAGGGAGGAGTCTGGGGAGGGGGAGATGGGTTGTCAATCCTGTCTACACAGGAAGCTTCTGTAAAACAAGAGCTTTGAGGGATTCCAGATGCTGAGCACGGGCGCTCCGGTGCAGCTCGTCTATACCAGAGTGAAGTCTTCTCTACTGCCTAAGAGGAGCGGGTTCTGTGCACTGCTGTAGAGAAGCCAGCTACTCCAAGGAGGGTCTGTAGGGAACTCAATGCACGGCTGGTTTGTGGGGACACAGCCGACCTGCCAGCCCTGACCCCTGAAGCGGGGTCAGCTATGAGGGACCCAAGCCTCCCAGTGTGGATCTGATGCTGTCCCTGGGTTGGTAGTGGCAGAAAGAAGTGAGTTAGATACAGGCAAAAGTCCTAAATGCTGCCTGGCTTCAACTGGAGACCTGCTGTCTAAAACACCCTGGCCCATGATGTCCAGCACAGGAAGGAGCAGAGTGCATGGCAAGGGTCTGGGGGGACAGACGTGGCACAGAAGCCCCTGCAGGCCCATGCAAGAAACGCTTGTGAGTTCTGCCCCGAAGGCATCCAGTTCTGCTGTGGCTGCCACTGAGTGGCTGTGGCCACACGCAGTGACGCAAACCTAACCACCCACCTTGGAACCTCCTCATCATGTCTCTCATCCCAGGGATGCAGCACACTGTCCTCAGCTCCAGCGGGGTGGTCTCACATTCCAGCCGTGTGACAGCCGTGCTTCTGGGAAGGACACAGCACACACAGGTGTCACTGTGCTCCCCCAACCTCCTTCCCCACCATGGCTCTGCCCCCAACCCCCGCTGGGTCACAGGAAAGCAAACATACCGGGTCAAGACCTCACTCACACCCTGCAAGACAAGCAGAAGCAGGAGTCAGGCCTGAGGCCACTGCAACGGCCACACTGGGGAATTTCTTTAGGAAATACTGGAAATTGTGAACAAATAAAGATAAAACGGGGGAGACAGTGAGGCTGCTCCAAAGTGCTCAGTGTCACCATCTCCGCCCCCTACTCACCTCCAGCAGACCCAGGGCCGGGCGCTGGCTCCTCTGCTCCAGCTCCTCAACCAGCTCCTTCAGGGCCTTGCTTTGCTGGGCCAGCCTCGCCCTACTGTCCCGCAGCCTCTGCAGGGTCGCCCGCTCTTCTTCCTCCAGCCACCGCTGCTGCAGCCGTTCCTCCAGGGCCAGAAAGCCACGGTACTTCTCAAACTCCAACCGGAACCGCTGCCGCTGCACCTCCACCTTCTCCTGGGGACACAGAGGGTGGTCAGCAGGGAGAGGGGTAGGGGTCCTACACTGTGTGTGGGACACGGAGTTGGAGAAGGCAATGTCCCAACCCTCAGCTCTGCGAGGTGATGTCCTCAACCCTCTTCAAGGTGATGTTCCTGACCCTCTGTGTAGGTGACATAACTAACCCTCAACTCTGTAAAATGATGTCCCTGACCCTCTGTGTATGTGCTGTCCCAACCCTCAGATCTATTGCAGTGGACTGACAGGTGACATCCCAACAACATGTAGAAACCTGGAACCATTACAACCCGAAGGTCCTGGGAAAGTTTTTAAACTCAGAGTCTGAGAACGACTGGGATTTGGATTCCCATTTCATTGCAGACTTGGAGGCAAGGCATTTTAATACACAGGTTCAGCATCACCTATAAAACAGAGCAAAACAAAGACTTTGGGGCTTACAGTTAAACATCTATTCATCTGCTGAACACAGGGACCAGCATGGTGTAGCCATGCATACAACAGAAGCAACTATCCCACTACTAGTCACCAGACACATGGAAATAACTGAGCTATGAAGGGAGAATAAAGGAGACCAGGATTTGCAGATATGAAGAAAAAAGTCCTAGGGATTAGAAAGCATGAATCTTTCATAATGCAGCAAGCATGAATCAACCATAAGGCTGTTTTCTGCAGTCAAGAAAAACCCAAACGCTACTCTGCCCACCTCCTTCAAAGTTAACTGCATGTTATTTGCCTAGTTTCTACCCAAATCTCACAGCTAACATTTCTGAGTAGATCTAAGGCATGTGGAGTACTTTGCTACATGGTTATTATGCCTAAACTTTATTGTCTTGAGATTAGTACATTTAAACAGAGTATGGGAGGCCGATTACCCTCCCAAAGTATTTACCTCTTGGATTCTCTGCTTTGTTTTTATATCTTATATTTTCTTGGTTTTACTGAACAAACAACTATGTTTTAAAGTGAAATAATAAATAACTCTTCAAAACTCCTAAGAGTCAACTCCTTCCTCTAATATTCCATTGCCAGCTCCTTTTAGGATTTTCATAATCACTGGATTCATTCAATCTTGGGTTCCTAAAATCAACCAACTCTGAGTTCAGTGTTCCCTTAATCACATCACTCTTGTGAAATATGTGCAATGCTCCCCACTGGAGACTGCGCCTCCTGTGAGTGGCTCACAACTCAGCCACCAGGAAACAGTGGCACTGTGGGGCACCAGGGATGGTGCAGCGAGAAGGGGTTTAGTGCCACCCTCTTCTTTTCTGCCATCATTGAGGACTGCAGTTATATCTGCAGATACAGAAAGAACAGCCTCTGCAGAATTTAGAGCTCATGCTTATCAAAACTGTGCTTGCTGCACTTGGCTCATTCAAAGGCATTATTGGGAGGAAAACTCATGTACATTTACTAGGCTTTGACTGGAGTCTTAGAACCACCTCTCCATAGAAACAACCAGCGGAGTGTTTAAAAAATATAGGAACCCGGATCTTGAAGACCAGAATTCTGCTTTCATAAATATGTGGTCAGGCCAGAACTTAAAACTAGGAACGTGGATTGTTAGCCTGAAAACAACACAAATTGTGAATCACTGTGTAACTTTATCTATGGAAACAGCATATTGGAAAGGATAAGAAATTCCAGAAGAAAGAAATGTAGCAAACTTAACCCTTATGGAAATAGCCAACTGTGTAAAAATACACTTTTTTGGCAAAACAAGGAAGAATTAGAAAAATATAAAAAACAATAAAGACTGGTTAGCTGAAACGAGGGAAATGGCAATATTCTATACAACATACCTTTCCATGTTGTAGCACAGAACACACACCAAGTATAATGCACCCACAGATTCACTCTGCGGTTCCACAGTCTCCTGAGGTGTGAGGACTGCCTGAATACTTCACGGTGTTCAGCACGTTCCTGCCTCTGCCCAACAGTGCCAGGAACGCAGGCCACCTTCCCACATCCTGACAAGTGGCACAACTTCCACACAGGACAAACCCTAAACGTAACCCCTGAACCCTAACTCTTACCCTAACTCTAACATTAATTAATGTTCTCTGAAGAGTCAAGGAAAACCTGAAAGCTACTCGGTATCCTTCATACTTAACTTCAAGTAATTTGCTTGGTTTCTACCCAAATCTCACAGACAAAATTTCTCAGTAGACCTAAGGCATATACTTTGCTACAGAAACAGAACTTCCAAAACGCCTCTTGAAAAGAGCAAAATCACTCAAGGCTGAGGACCTGTGTACATGTGAGTGTGTGTGTGTGTGTGTGTGTGTGAGTGAGTGTGTGTGTGTGTGTGTGTGATAGGTAAGAGAACGAAGTGTTGGTAGTGTGCAGAAGAGAAGGAATACATGAATGGATGACTGAAGAGAAACCCCAGTTTCTGCCTGCCTTTCTGGCAGATGTTCCCTCTCTCAGCCCTCCTCCATCTGCTGCAGAGCTGTATAACTGAGTATAATCTGTTCCCTCCTCCAACTGATGTATTTGTAAACTACAATACAAAGTGGAAAGCACACAGCAGTGAGTTTCACAGTAAGGTCACAGTAAAAGTGCAATTTGTGGTTCATGCTGTTGATGAAGGTGGCAAGAAGGAAGCAGAGGACCAGCATGATCTGAAGGGACCCGAAGACCAGAACAGTGCTGAGACTTGCTCCTGAGCTGGGACAGGAGCAGAGCGCTGCATGAGGAAGCTCGGGAAGGAGGACTGGGCCCAGAGAGCTTCCCCAAGCCGGGGACCGGCTCACCTTCCACACCACAGTCTTCTTCCCCACATTCACCTCCTGTGCCGATGCCTCCTCCATCTCTTTCTGCACCGTCTCCAGGGCCTGCTGCAGCTTCACCTGCTCCGAAGGACACAGAGAAGCATTATCCATGCCTCCTGAAGACCAGGACACCAGACCAGGAGGGCAGCAGTGAGCACAGAAATGTTCCCAGGCAGCCTGGGAAATGTCCCTCATTAACAAGTGAATTAAACATAAATGTAGTTTAATAGCAGATACAAAGACTTATCGAAAAGCACACTCATTACATCATTATTTACAGTAGTAACACCACAACTAACCAGATGTTAAAATATGAACATACAAAACTACTTTATATGAACAGTACAGTGTATAAATGGGATGCACTGTGGTATGTAATGACAATTGCAATTATAATCTGAAAGTAAATGTATTTTACAAAACTTAAGGCCAACCTGTAAAAGGTTTCTATAATGAAGATATAAAACCTGGTAGAGGTAAAGATGTTACTAGATGAAATGTTGGATTGTGAGGCTAGGTTGAATAGTAATTATTACTCATGAGAAGAAAATGTTTTATCATTAATAGTGTTAGTAGTATTACTTGGCCAGAATAAACCTGGTGAACATTTTAAATAAAAGCATACACTATATTGTAAATTATACAAAAAGAAAATGATAACACAACAAAATTTACATCTTCCTTCAATGATGGGGCCCTTGGCTAGGGGCAAGTATATAGACTTCATTTATGGAGAACACCCATCAAGATAGAGAAATTCACCTTTACTAGGAAAAAATACAAATTCTATCACCAGAGCCATGCAATCAATCCTACATACAGGTCAACTTGTTTTTAAAAGGACAACATTATAATACCTTTTACTGCATTGCACATAACATTAGCATTCACAGTGGGCATCCCAGGATTTGGGGAAAGTGGTGTTTGGTTTGCTATTGGAAAGGAATGGGGAACTGTGACATTTGTAGATGGAATAAGCTCCCTCAGATCAAAGAGATCATGAGCAAAGGCAAGGAGGTGAAAACAAAGCAGTGTTCAGTCTCCCTGGGCAGCAGTGACTGGGCCACTTTCACTGCATCCCACTTGGCTGGGATTACAGCAGCCAGAACACAACCCAGGGCCCTAGGGGTCTAAAGGGCAGGGTGAGGGCTTCAGGTGATATTTACTTCCTACTTAGTTAAAGAGCCACTGAAAATACAGAGCGCACCTTCAGAAACCCACTCTGGCCATGCTGTACTAGTTCCTTCTGGACTCAAACAGGTAGGAACACACTTCAGAAAGCTACCTAGAAAGAACCTAGTGTCTGAATTTTGCAGAAGATAACAGAAATCAAGAAGAAAAACTAAGAGAGAATTTTTTCCAGGAAGCTCCACCAAGAGGTGTTGATGTAAAACATCCCAACCTTAATTTACAACAAACAAAGTAGTACAACTTTTCACAAGACCAGTGTGTGCGATTTCTTACAGCACAGCACAGCTCTCAGGGGTTAAAAAGGTCTGCAAAGAGGGCTTTGACCTCTTTTGTGGTCTTGGTGATCCTGGTGCAGGGAGCTGAGATGCCCTAGGAATGTGCTCAGGGGCTTCTGAGGAGCCCAGGTGGTCGGAGGAGGAATTGCTTGCTGGGCAGCATGGCTCCCAGCGGGACGCATACCCATGCTGGACCCTGGCCTACTGCAGCAAGGGAGGTTCAGGGGGCACAGGCCTCTCCGCCTCTCACTCCCCCTCTCCTCTAGTCTCTCCTCCTGGCTCCCTCCCTTTCTGGGGACCTGTGCCCCTGTCAGCTCCTCCCCAGGTCCCCAGTGCTCTCCTGGCCTGGCCCCCAGATGGGACCCTTCACCTGGGAGCTCCTCCTCCCTTTCTCTGTCTGTAGCTCCTGAAAGCTCCTAGCATGTCCCCCCTCACGGAAACCTCACCTGCCGGACCCCACTTGCTTCTCCACTGTCCTCTCCCCGGTCCCCTCCCCTGCCCCATCCCAGGTCCCTTACCCTGTGCTCCTCCATGGCCTCCCGCAGCCCGGTGGGGTGGTGTCCCTGGTGCTCGTCCCCGGCGGCGCAGACCCTGCACAGCACGCGCCCGTCCTGGGGGCAGAAGAGCGCAACCTCCTGGCCATGCAGCGCGCACCGCGCCCCCTCCGCATCCCCCGCGGCGCCCTCGGCCAGCGCCAGGCGCCGCACACCATCCACCAGCGCCGCTAGCTGCCGGTTGGGCCGCACGCCCTCGGGCCGGACATCAGCGCGGCACTGCGGGCAGCGGGGCGCGCGCGCAGGGGAGCGGGGCTGCGCGTCCAGCAGCGCGCGCACGCAGGCGGCGCAGAAGCTGTGCCCGCAGTCCACGGTCACGGGCGCGCGCAGCAGGTCCAGGCACACGGCACAGCGCGCGTCCTCTTGCAGCTGCGCGCCGGGGCCTGATGCCATTGGGGCCCCTGGATGGGGCGACCAAGCAGACCAGGCCTGCTGTGTATGCACTGGGAGGCACCTGGACTGTAATGGGCCAGCCAGCACTGGCTTATCAGGGGGCCAGGCCAGGGTGAGTGCGCAGCTCTGCAGAGCAGGGAGGGCCAGTCCTCACCCAGGACGCAGCTCCCCTCCATGAAAAGTTATTAAAGTTTGATTATTTCATTTTACTATGTGGTATTGGGGATTAAACCCAGGGCTTTTGCACTTAGCTACATTCTAGCCTCTCTCTCTGTCTCTCCCCCCCCCACCCCTTTTTGAGACAAGGTTTTCCTAAATTGCCAAGTTACCCAGGCTAGGCTCTAACTTGTGATCCTCCTGCTTCAGCCTCCCAGAGTATTGGAATGACATGTTTGCTCTGCCAAGCCGGGCTTCAAGTTTAACTTTCACCTCAAAAAACTTTAAACGTTTTGTAAACACAATTTTACAGCTTCCTGGAGTGTGTTGTGTTGTTGGAGGGAATTCCTGGACTCTTAACAAAGCTGCAGAATCTGACTACACTTGTTTCACAGGAGCAGGACCTAGTGGGAGTGGGGTGCACACCAGCTGACAGGCGAACCCCCAAACTGGTGTGACTGGACTTGCTCTTGGCTTGGAAGTTCGCTGTGGGAGACCTAGAGAATGGCCAGCCCCTTCCCTGGCCTTCCTGACTACTCTGGGTCCTGTTTGTGCTGCACACTCATTCTCCCTTACTCCTTCTTCTGACACACACACACGTACACCACTGCTTAAAGGTGCACAGCTGGCCACAGCTCTGCACATTTACATGAACCTTGGGCCTGGGTCAGGGACCAATGTCTGCCTGTCCTGCCTGAGCTAAGCCGCTTCTTGGGGAGCCAAGGAGCACTGCCCTTCAGAGCTTGGCTGTGGGGCTGAAAGGCTGGGCAGGGCCAGCGCCTGGGCAGCAGTGACCCCACAGGTATGAGCAGGGCGAGCACGGGGCCTGTGAATGCCATCGAGAAAGTAGCGGGTTCAGGGGAGCCCCTTCCACCTGAGCCAAAGGTAACTTCACAGCGAGAAGCTGGACACCAAGGGAGCATGGCCACTGTCTGTTCCACACATGTGTGTCTGTGGGTCTCAGATGCAGCCCTGCATGCAAAAGGCATGAAGACGAGGAAGAGATACAAGGGGTGATCAAATATACAGTGAACAAAAGACACACTGCCACGAAGCCCCTCAGAATCCTCCCCATCACTTGGAGCACACTCATCCCTCATCCTCACCACTTCCTGGAGCAGCTCTGGAGTCCTCTTCCCTGAGGGTGTTTACCAGGTGTGATCAAAAACATGGTGACTGCTGCCGCCCAGCACCATTGGACAGAAAGGCAGCTCATAACGACACGAGGCTGTGTCCTCATCACCTGATTCACCAGATCTGGCACCCTGTGACTTTGGGCTCTGCCCCAAGGTCAAAATGAAGAGAAAGGGAAAAGATTTGAATCCATTCAGGACATGGAGGTAGCCAGGAGAGCACAGCTTAAAGATACTCAGGAGAGAGGACTCTAGAGGTGCTGCAGAAAGTGGCAAGGACATGGGATGAGTGTGCTCCCACCAAGAGGGAGGATTTTGAGGGGATTCTAGGCAATGTGTCTTTTCCTGTAAGGAAGTTTTAAACTTAAATCCCTTTGTTTGTTGCTGCTGCCTCCTGAGTCTCATCTTTCAGGTCTGGGAGAGAGCCTCACAGGCTGTTAACCAGGAGCAGACTGCTCCCCTGCAGGCTCTGAGCCAGTCCAGAAGGGTGACAGGCCACAGGAGGACCCCAGGCTGGGCAGGCATGAGTGTGTGTGTGTGGGCGGGAGGAGCCACTGCACCCATGACTCAGGTGGGCACGCAGGGCCTGGTAGGTGGCAGCAAGATGAACCTGCAGGGAGAGGTCAGCCATGGCTCTGGTCCTCGCACCTGCTGGGACCGCCGTCCTCTGCACCAGAAGCACCAATCTCACCCTCAGCTGTGGTGGCCCAGGAGGTTCCATTGGGGTCACCCTGGGGCCTGAGGCCCCTTCATGCTGCACACTGGCCCAGACAAGTGGAACTTCCGGGGGAGACCTGGGGCGCACTCTGTGTGGGATGGGTTACCCAAGGGGCTTCCTCTCTGGTCCACTGTGGTGATGTCCCTGCCATGCTCCGGTCCTGCTCAGCGCCAGCTCCCTCACTTCTGTTCCACATGGAGTAATAATTCACCTGCTCAGCTCTATGGATGAGGTGACAATGTGCTTCAGGAGGACCCGGGTCTCCCAGTGCTGGTGGGCCCCTGTGGGGGTCACAGGAGTGCGGTCACCAGTGGGCTTAGAGCTGCGGGCGACGGCTGTCTGCTCTCTGATCCCAGGAGACCAGAAGATGAGGGAGCACAGTCCTGTCACGGCCCTCCAGCTGGATGCGTGTGGTGTGCAACAACCAGGCTGGCTGTTCACACTTGCTGGTCGAGGCCTCCGCACGTTTTCCTGTTTAAATTTGGATTTTTTTTATGGTTTCTCTTTTAGGCCAAGACAAGCCTTTCTCTGACATAACCTCTCCCTGAACTCAGTCCTCCAACCCAGTCATGGGTTGTGTACACCTAAACTTTCATCTACCCTTCCCTGCACTTGCGTCCTGACATCCTGGTAATTCCCTGAAATGTACACTGCAACTCATCTGAACACTTTTCTCAGCTCTTGTTCTTTTTTTCCTTCTCTCCAAAGAAAAAACCTTTTCTATTAGTACAGGGCTGGGTGTGACACACAGCAGTTGCACTCCTCCTGTGAAAGTGGCACACACAGGGCACAGGATCCTTCAGCCCCACCCAGTCAGGCTCTCGCTGCCAGCCTGTAGGCTTGTGGGCTTGGGCTCCTGACTCAGTGTCTCCAGCATATCAGTTCTTGCTCCCCTGCCTGGGGCCTTATTTGCACCACCTGGGCCCAGGGCTCCCACAGCCTCCCCACCTGCCCCACAGCCCAGCTCAGCCCAGCACAGGGAAAGGAAAGCTCAGCCCTGACTCAGCACTTCCTCATTTGCAGAGCTCCTCTGTTTTCACCACGTGATTCCACCCAGTCTCCCCCTGCTTTTCCACCCCCTGTGTTACTGTGGTAACAGACACCTCACAGAAGTTCCCAACCTTAACCACTCCAATTGTGCAGTTCAATACTGTTAAGCAAATTTATACTGTCGTGGAATCTGACAAAACTCTTTTCATCTTATAAAACTGAAGCTCTGTACCCAGAAAGTACTTTTTACATTTTTACTTTTATTAGTACGTTTGCAGCACATGATGATTAGCTTCATCAATAGCTGCTTCCTATGCATTACATAACAGCTTCCTGTGCCCCTTCACCCCACTCGGATGCTGGCAATCACCTTCTTACCGCTGTCTCTGAATTGGACTACTCTAGGGGATTTACCTAAGTTAATTTATATGTCTGTCATTTTGTGACTGACTTACTTCTCTTAGTGTAAGCTCCTCAGTGCTTAAACACATCACAACACATCTTACAAGTTCCTCCATTGCTAAGGCTGAATAAAATCTCATTACCCAAAAGTACATTCTAATTTTTAACACATCAATGGGCACTTGAGTTGCTTTTGCGTTGTAGAGATTTTGAATGACGTCGCTATGCACACTGATGTATAGACCTTTTCCAGACCCTTCTCCGGTTCTTTTGGGTGCACACTAGGAGTCAAAATGTGGGGTCACAAAGTAATTGTGCTTTCGGTTTCCTGAGGACTCTCTGTACTACTTCCACTGGGGTGCACTATTTTATACTTTCACCAACAGTGTACAAACCTGTGAGGGCTGCTGGTGACCCTGTACCTCTCACTCCCTGTGGAAGAGCTCTCAAGAAGTGAGCACAGAGACAGCTACTGGGATCAGCATAGGGCCTGAGCTCTGGCTGGCAGGCAGGGGAGCAGGTGCTGCTGAGCTGGTGCCACACCAGCACGTGCCCACAAAGGCACATACATGTGATAGTGCTGTGTATTTATTTATTCATTTCTAAGTTCATGGAAGTTTATTTCTGTAGTACAAAAGTTTAGAGGCCAAGAGTTCAAGACTAGAGGCTGAATCTGCATGGTCTCAGCATGCTGGCTCCTTCTCTGTGCCCTTGCTCTCTTGCATTTTTTAAGGAGTAATATGTTTCTTTATTATTTTATTTTTAATTTTTATTAGTTCATGTTTGCAGTATATAATCACTACATCCATTGTGGGGAGCTGGCTCGTGTACATAGCATATCTTACTTCATTTTAAAAATAATGTTATGCTAAAGAGTGATTCACATTGTTATTGTACTTATTTTGACCAATTCCAGGAGAAGAGTGTTTTTATTCCAAAGCCCCTTCATTCTGAGCCTGTCCAGATCAAGGGTTGCTCAGAATCACCACCCAGAAGGAACACATGGGGGATCCCCAGACTTGGGGTGCAGGGGTGCCCTGTGACCTGGCTGGGCACGGAGAGCCCCTCTGGATACAGCTCTGAGAGTCTGAGGTCTGCATTCATCCCTGTTCCCATCAGAGAGGGCAGCTCTGGCTCTGTCTGTCCAGGGGAGCCCAGCAGAGGACTAGGGCTCTCCAGTCTGCAGTTCTGGTGCAGGAGTATTTTGAAGCTGCTCCTTGTTAAGTGGCAACCTGGGGAGACCAGATAAGGGCTAATTTTGCATGCTGTACCCCACATTTACTTCTTATCAACAGGCAATGAATATCAATGTCAGGCTGTCACCATTACCACAGGATATGGACCTGGACACCACCCTGGGTTATCTTTCCCAGTAGTTTTCATCATGGATCGCTGTCACTTAGAGGCTTCTTCCCTCTGGAGAGTGGGTGGGAGGGATCCCAGAGTTGTAGGATTTTATTGCCAACTGCACAGGAACCTCAGGCCTAGCTGCATTGCATAGATCACACTGTCACACTGTCTTTTTGCAGACCGATGCCGCTTGTGTGCCCACCAGGCTCTCCTTGAGCTGGGAGTGGGTCCCCGCCCCTGTGCACCTCCCCTGCTCTGTGCAGTGTGCTGTAA